ATAGAAACATTTGTGTATGCGTCAGTACACAAACAGTATAAAAGGTGGGCCTCAGTTAGATTAGTTTGCGGCAAGGGGGTGCGGCGTGACGACAGAAGGACAGGGCGCTAGTCATTTGGTCATTACGAGTATTGAAGCCTGCCATTACATAACGCGTTCTACGCTTCAGTGTCGTGTGATTTATACTTTTTAATCTTTAAGTATTAGAAGTGCCAATTGGTGAAGGCATAAGATTAATCACCCCATTTATCCCGTGGGTGTTGTAGTGGTGGCCATGGGATATGTCCGAAAGGTCATATGGCGACGGAAAGCAGCTTGACGCTCCTTCCTGTCGCTGGTGCGAGACGTCTGGTACCGCGATGGTCAATCCAAAAAATACAATTATAAATATTAGAAGAAATGATTACTTCGTCCTGGGTTCGAATGCCCTTAATTTATTTCCTAGTTTGTTTCCCCCCCTCGCCTCTTACGACACCCCCGGGACGATATGCGGTAGTGGACATTCTTACAACGCCACTAAATGTTTAGAGCCGTGGTAGCTCAGATGGTTAACGCTCGCTGTAAATAGAACGCGAATAACCCGGGTTTGATCCTCGCCGGCACCAATGAAATTGTTAATTGCAATTTTAAGTGCTGATTTACCAAGTGCTCGGCGGTGAAGGAAAACATCATGAGGAAACCTGCATGTCTGAGGAATAACAAAAAAAATATTTCGAAGACATGTGAAGTTCGCCAACACACATTGGAGCAGCGCGGCGGACACTTCTTTGCCCTAATACCCTCTCAGAAATGAGGGGAGGCCTGTGCCCAGCAGTGGGACGTATATAGGCTATAACAAAAACATAAACATAAACACTAAATGTTTAATAATATAATAATAATAATAATAATTTATTTCAGACCCACATATAGTTCATAATATGTTAGTAAATTAGCTTAACCTACGTTAGTCTTAAATCATTACACGTACAATTTTCATAACAATTAGTTTTTTATTTTTGGCACGCCATGACACCAGGCACATGCAAGTGCATACGCATCCAGTGCCCTAGGATGGGACAATCAAATCTATCAGATATTGCCTTCAGAATGCTATTAGAGCTCCCACGAACCCTGCGCATGAGGGATGCTATTCACTTTCGAATTATGGCATGAAAACCGTCCGTACCGTACGCTGTAAACATCCCTGAAGCGCTACAATACCGCGGAAACCCCATCAGCATCCTGAAGGCATTATTATATTGTACCCGAAGGGCATTGTAGGCTCTCTGCGTGTACTTAACCCATAGACTGCACGTGTAAAATGACTGGCAAAAGGCTTTGAAAAGTGTTACCTTAACTTCTTCTGTACAGCGTGCAAAGCTACGGGACAGCATGTTACAGCGAACCGCCAATGCCCTTCTTTCTCTTTCTATGTCCGCATCATCAGTCAGATCCTCAGTTAAAACGTGAACAAGATATTTAAATTGATATACTCTATTTAACTGTACGTTCCTTAATTTAACAGGTGGAATCGTTTCAATTTTTGATCCAGCTCGAAATAACAACACTTCACTTTTTTTTACATTATAAATGAGACCCTGAGTCTCAGCATAAGTATCACAAATATTAAGTAATATCCTCAGTATATATAATATTCCCCCTAATTTATATATGTACAATACTGTTCCCCCTAATATTTGTAAATATTTAACTGAAAGTTAAACAAATTTTCACGCTGTAGAGCCATGCTGCTGTTATACTATGACTACAGCACGAATGGCTCAACTCGGCCGGGGAAGAACCACTTTCTCACAGAATATAAGCTTAATGCTGCTGTATTTGGTGTGTTGAGTGTTAAGAACCGGATACCCTTTTAACTGGTAATATTTGATTATTGTGTCTCCGACACTGCATACCTTTACTGGTACCCAAATTGACTTTTTACATATTTCAAAGTTAAGTCACGTAACTTTCTGTCGTTTTCATTAACTTTTATAGATTAGAGAAGCGTCAATGATTGTAGGAGCACAACTTGATTAACCCCACTGATATCATCGTGAAAACGTTTAACGTGTATGTGTGAATCAAAATACGGATGCGTTTTCAGAGGTGTAAGACAGAATGCCTCTTAATCAGCATAAAATCGTCTCCAGCTTCCTGAACCCACTATACAAAGCATAGCTGCTGTTTTACGCTGGTATTTTATAAAAGTGTTTTTTCCCGGTAAGGGGACTCTTATTTATTCAAAAAATAAAAATGTAAGATTCTTTGCAACCTTCCGCTAAATAAAAACAATGATGTGTCTTACCTGGATTGAAGAGCACCTCCCGCCCTCCCTCAATTGCATGCACTAACTCCGTCACCACTACTCCCAACACCACTATTCCAGGTAAGACACACCATCGACGACAATACGACACGGGGATGTAACTCTTTTATACAATATGTCTTAGTACCAACTCCAGAGTAATATTAATTTTGTTCTGTTTAGTTTTAATTCTTAATGTTGACTTTGTTCTTTATTATAAAAGTTTAAATCATTAATAAAGACAATCTCATTTGCTTTATTTATAGCATCATTAGCAATGACATCTCCCGTTGCCTCTTATTAAAATTCGTTCAGCATTTTCACAAATTATTAATACAAATTTTTAATTTTATTAATACTAGCACGTATCAAGGTGTCAATATAACAAGGCCATCTTGTAATTACTCACAAGCTATGAATGGGCGACTGATTTTAAGACGTGAATTACACTAATAGATCAATGTGAAACTCTTTTGACGTTGTGAGACGCATTGATCGTTCGTAAGAACATTAATCAAGCGCCAGACTCTCGCACGCCTGTAGACATCGACTAGATTTTTAAATTTCGAATTCAAGCTCAGTGCGACCTACCATTATTCATTTTTGGATGTGGGGTAATTAAAAGTAATCACTGCTTTCCTTTAAAAATAATTACGTGTTTCATTTTGGTAGTTTTCATTTGGTGGTTGGTAACGTTCGCGTTTGGTATGATAGCGACCAGAAGACACGCCCTTGGATACATGCCCATAGTTACACGTCTTTCAAGAACATGACGTTCGGTAATAATTGTGTAAATATTTTTATTTTGTTAGGTCATTAAATTAAACTATTATTAAAAATATATTTAAATATAGGCACGTATCTTCACGTCTGTAAATCCCGAGAGGGTAGACAGAGTTTAACGAGCAGCGAGCAAGCGAGAAACTTGTACAACTTTAACCCATCGCCTGCACAATTACAATTTCAATATCCCATTAATCGCCATCTATGATGTAATTACCAGGTGACACAATTAGTACGTTCTTATTGTTATAAGTCTCACTTAAACACAGGACCTATAAGCTCGAGACACACATGAGCCACGTTAACATAATTTAGAAAAATTAAATTGCAAACCTTACGGTTCAAATGCTTCACAGAATCAATGTAAACTGAGGTATTTGACGTCCTAATCTTACAATTACCTCTGAATACCTTCACTCTCTCCATAACCCGAAACGTTGGAAATAATAAAAGTTAAATTAAACGCGACATAATCTGTAAACGTACACTTATGAAATAAAAAGAACTGACTTAAACATGATAACATCTCCTATAAAAATTTACTAAAACTGGTAGATATTATTATTTCCTTTAATAATCCAATACATAAAAAATAATTTTTGCTTGTTCATATTTTATGTGCTGCCATACCGTTCATTGAATTGCAGTAAAACTTCGTCAAAATATTGCTTGCACTTCCGCGATGGTTATAAGCACAGTTGGGTCCGTTAGGTGGCGTTGATTCTACATCAGCTGCCACTAATTATCACAGCACCCAGGGTTGACTGGTAAAGCATACCAATAGACATTAAATCTTTAAATATCATTAAATAAACTTTTATTTGATAAGGTCAATAAATAAAACAATAAAAAAATCATGTGTTGTGGAAACAGATAATCCAGTTACAAGGGCATTCATCATACATGTTATTTCTACTTTAACTTAATTGAATTCACGGATCTTACTTAAGATAAATGCAGTGCGGAATTAAGTTACTACCCGTTTCTTTTTTATAGCATTACATAGCATTTAACCTTAATATCTGAAAATAGTTTGCGGTATTATTGACAAATATTGCTTTAAGAAAAGAAAAAATAAGCACCATAAAATTTGAAAAACATACCTTTTTCCACCTTTTTTTATCTTGTGTTTCGTGATTTTTGAATAATTTAAAATAATTCAAAAATCACGTAATATGTAATATTGTGACAAAGTGATTTTGTGTTGAGGTGCCTCAAGAAAATCTACTGTCTTATGTCTTCCGTTTGTTTGTTCCTCACGTTTACTTACACGTTGACTTTAATTCAATAATAACTTACATTACATAGTTGTTACATTTTAAAGAACGTTGCATTTTTTTATTTTATATTTCGTATGCTTACTGGCGGGGCTTAGAGAACCCATTTTATGTTTTATTATGTACATTTTGAGATCTGTAAATTTACATATATTCACAAAATAAACAGATTTGATGTTGCAGCTTAATTTGGCTGCATCAGGGATTGATCGGTTCATCGACCTCACTCTCATCGAATACTAGCGTAAGCATTATAATGCTATGTTTCGTATGATGAGTGACGATAACCGGGGAACCCTTTGATTTGTATAAGGCATTTTATTTTAATCCTCAGAGGTGTTAACACATAAACATTTTTTTTCTTAACAGCAGGTAAATGTAGGTGACTAAGCAATTTTTACCATATGGTCCAAATACTGTATGCTCGTTTGTGACAAACAACTTGTATAAATTACTATTTAGAAAAAATGGTGGCATCTTACGCTTGTAGAAGCTCGTGGCTTCGTATGGGCTCAGGTCTTAAGATCACTCAGTCAGGTTTAAATAAAGCATTGGTGTAATTATGTATGACGTCTCGTAAATATAAAAAAATCGATAAATGGTGGATCGAAAAAGTGTAATGTTCCTTTACAATTTTTATTTGCTTGCAGGTAACAACGTGGACACGCAGCAGCGACAAATTGATCAGAAATCTAACCAGTGGTTCGGTGCTACCCTTACAAGTACGGGCCGGAACGGACCTATTGTGGTAAGTGCATTTTTAACATAGTGTTGAAGTAAGAATATTGCATGACTTACTACTTCCTCTCCTCTCCACCATTGGAAAACCAGACGATCGGCTAGACACCACCCCTTTGTTGTCAATTTACCCCGAATTCGAACAAAACTGTTTGCTTCGTCATCCGTCATGAGCGGGTGGAGTACAGCTTTCTATCCATCCGATTACAATGCCTTAAAGTCACCCGGGCAAGGATGAATAGGATTTTCTTAAGCTAAGTCAGTGAGCTTTACCATTTTTGGACAAAATAAACATGCAGTGAAATTGAGAACCTTCTAGTTTTTTTTAAAGTCGGATTTACTTGTAAAATAAACCAGTTCCTTTTCAAAGTTTTCGGAATATAAACGCGATGCTGTATTTTTATTTTGTAATAAACTCGTCTTGATATCTTTGGCTGAATTACTTTAATAACAATGTAATTCGGTAAGCATACTCGCATAACTTACTCAGTTAAAAATTTACGAGTGAAAGCGACGTGCGCGATCTTTATTAATGAAATACGACCACAGTTTATTCGTTCACATTTATGAAAATGAATTTCTTTGGCTGGCCAGTATTTATTGCTCTATAATTATTTTTAATCTGATATAATTGAGTATTTGCTGTTTGATATAATATCTGGATTGTAAATATGTTTTATGATATTTTAAATGTTACAGAGTCCATATAATCCTCATATATATCATGTATATGAGGTTTTAAGATAATTTTTTTCAACAAACTTAGAGAAGTACAGGGTTATAGAGTTTGCTTCATAAGTAATTTAAGATAATAAAGTTTGTATGATCGTGGTTATATCCAGTATGCAATTTATATTAATTATTTAAAAGATTATTATCTTATAAAGGATATTTCTTTGAATACACTTGTCCCTTTAATTTGTCATTGTTTCTTAATGCGAAGCTTTGAGAACTTAATAACCGACATATTCAACTGTATCACTTTACTCGTAAGATTACGATCATTACCTATAACAAAACTCCGTGTGTTACCAAATAAGTTAAAATCATTTCAGGAGGTATGAGAATTGAAATTAATTGACATTAATGAACAATGACACAGTCAAGGATATATTTGGTCGACATTACCATTCCCTATGACGAGAACCTCGTGAAAGCCGACACAAATAAGAAAACAAAATATCTGGACCTGGCTCGCGAGGCGACTGACATTTGGGGTGGTCTAGCCGACCGAAATTATTCCTGTAGTCGTCTCTGCGAATGGGCTAATCTCGTTTAGTCTTTCGGGTCATCTGAGGTGACTGGGACTCCACGACGAACGACTCCAGGCTCAAACGCAGAAAGCGTTGCTCCACGATACCGGCCGCATCGTACACCGATTTCTTTCTCTTTCCCCCTAACATTCGGCCGTTTAGTCTATCCTGCCGAGGCCTTTCTTCTGGTTGGGCTTTTATTTATTTTCGTATTATTTATTTATTTATGATAGTATAAAATAATATATCTTTATGTATGTTTATCATTTCCTTTTATATATTTAAGCCCATCCAGATGAGAATACTCTACAAATACCCCAATATAATAATAATATCATTTATTCGCTAACTTGGTACATTAATGATGACAAATATTGGTAGGTAGTCCACATGTATGTGAAAATATTTAACCTTATATATTGAATCATTATTTCAATAAGTAAACAAGTCAGTAATCATATATTTAGCATGTCAATCATTATTATTTTATAACTAGGCCAATCAAATTAAAGGTGTTAATAAAAATTTTCGAAAAAAATTTCAAAGGAGTATGTAATTATTCTACACAATATAAAATAAATATAAATGTTAAAAATGTTAAGTTTGATAAAGCAATTCTATTAATTTAAAAAGTATTTTACATCATAAATGCACTTTAGTAATAGCTTAGTTTTTATGTTTAGTTATAAATCTATCAATTTCCTTCTCTTCTTTTATGTTTATGGGTAGTTTATTAAAAATCTTTATACTCATCGCGAAATAACCCTATTTATAAAATGCAGTTTTTTGTATACGGTCTAAAAGTAGTCCGTCAGATTTCCTAGTGTTACGCAAAAATATATCAAACGCTTGTTTGTACATAATATGTAAATTTCAATACTTAGTAGTAGTAGTAGTAGAGTAAGGACGTTAGGATCTTTAAACAACCTTTTCTTAAACCATCAAAAACCTTATTTTTTTAACTATAGGTTAAAACTAAGACTATCGTTGAACCGCATTTTGTAACAAGACCGAATATGTTTGAAACTCTACTTTTATTTCGCCGCAGTTGGGTAAAAGCAAGATTCCACCGATTTATAATGGCAGCGATGTTTCACGATCTACGTATATTATCTATTGCGACGTTAGTGTTTGTAATCTCGCCGTCGGCAACCTCATAAACCTCGTTATAGTGACCTATAAAGTTTATGAGGTGGCTGTCAGCGCTACACCCTTCCTGTTACACCCATCGTTGGTCGACGGATTTAAGATATACTATGTCATTTGTATGAAAATACAAACACCTTTTGTTTTGTTTAAGTCGATTGTGATTTCAGTGAAATTTTGGGTCACGCTTTTAATTATTGCAGTAACTGAACGTTAAATGGCCGGTGTTTCTGCTCCGTGGTCATAGACCTTAATAAAAAGCATAGTCTCAAATTTTTACAATTACATTGAATATGGGTTTTGCGCTTTTCCACTAGATTATGTTTGCGAGTGAGCTGCCTCTGAATAAATGAGCCTTTAATTATAAAAAGGACTGTCACCATGTTCTGAAATATCAGGAGAACATGATCGTTAACATTTAATGTCGTGAGAGACTTAGAAATTAAATGTGAAATTTATGATTTAAAGTTTGATTTGAGACTGATTAATCGTTAAATCGATTCTTTGGGCTTACAAAATCGTTTTTGTAGATTGATTAAAAAAATGGATCAATTTAGTGAATCGATCCCAAAAAATCAGTCCGATTGACTGCTACGTTAGTTTAGTGGTTGTAAACATGGTCCCGGGTTTGAAATCTGGGTCGGAACAAAATCAGTTTGTGAGATTTTCTGCAAAAAAATTTCAGTAGTAGCCCGGAATCTGGAAGTTGGCGGAATTTCACCCCGTGCCTTAAAAAGCACGAAAATCCGTTGGTCTTGCACCTGATCTTTCTCCGGTCGTGTCTCGTCATTCATTTAATGCCATCTGACTATAAGAGTGAGGGTATAGAGAGACTAGTTAAATTAACATGGTAGAGCCATGCTGCACCTTTATTAGTTGTATAGTTGCCACGCCCTCACTGAATAGCAGCGTAAAATAGCAGCTTAATGGTGATGTGTTTCGTATAGTGACTGTATGCATCTCTTGGCCACCCGTTTATTTAGTTTAGTTTGTGTAATACTTCTACGTGCACTGAGCACGTTGTTAGACAAGTGAATAGTGCCCCCATCTTTTCTCATGCCGCCGCCCTATGGTTATTGACAACGGTCTGAAAAATCTAGAACGGTGTACGTGAACGGACGCACCAAACCTCTCGAGTGGTAAATCTCTTACGACTGCAGGCCGTGTTATCGCTATCCGTTCTCTACGTCGCAACCAGAGACCCTTTTTACTGGAAAAGAGGCATTCTATCTCAGTCCTCACGGCTGACAATGCATCTGCATTTTTATTCGCCAAAGAGGGTAGATGTAGATGTCTATGGGCCACAGCAACCACTTACCATCAGGTGGACTGTGTGCTTGCTTGTTACCTTTATCCAATTTAAAAAAAATTGAGATTAACTACCGATGCATTTCCCTTGATGGGCAGCAGCGTCTGCTGTTGCGTATCTGCTTGCCCGATGACTGATGATGATCACTGTTCATGAGTGTGACGCATTTGGCAGCCCTCGTCCTTCTTAATATTCTACTGTAATATCTTTATACAATTCTTCTGTCAGTGTGTATGTGACTGAACTGTTCTCTAACAGCTGTCCCGACTTTGATAAAATTTTGTGTGTATGATTGAAGCTGATTCGAGAATGGATTAGATTCACAATTGAATCCGGTAGGCCTCGCTGTTGTCAAGTTCTAGAAATCACTCGTGCGACCCCCGGGTGGATCGCTAGTTACTTATAAAAAGAAAAAAAGAGAAACATAAATCAAAAACAAAATAAAGCACAGACGAATTTACAATGAAGCGAAAAGTCATTAATTTCCCTTCCCCTTTGAGGAGCCGCGGTGACATTTTCCGCAATTGGGTCACTAGGAGGCCCCATCATCTTGTGGGGTTGGAACACCAGTAGGTCACGGGGTCGCCTTTACGATTTGTTGGCTAAGCGAAGCGGCCGCCGGTAATGGGGTTTGCTATCTATATTACTGAACCTACGTGCCTTTGCTTTTAAGATGATAAAAGTTTATAGGTGATTAGGACGGAGTTTGTCCAACTCTCTAATTTACCTTACAATGTAATGTTATAGCATATTTATTTCCCACAGCTGGGCACAGTTCTTTTCTCATTTATATATATGAATTAAAGAGAAATTAGTCCAACGTTCCATTCCACGAATAACCAAGCTCTCATACGGCCGTTGATCTTTTATTGCTTACTACACCCACGAATCAAACAACTGAACTGTTTACTAAACAAGCATTGTCACAAAGCACGGTCCCAAGCCACCTGCAATCATCAACTTCCTACATCTCTGACCAGGTTGTCACTCCATCTAGTGGGGAGTCACCTTACTCTTCGCCTACCGGTACGAGGCTTCACGAGGCCCACTGCTACTTCAGTTTACTAATCCGTACTAATCCCATTTCTAAGTTTATCGAGTTATTTCAATATTACATGTCCATAATAATACAAGTTTGTCAAATAAATAAAAATATAGCTAAATTATTCAAGTATTATGTAAGTAACTTTGAATGATATTACACTTAAGTGCAATAAAACTGTAAAGCATTTTTTCCTTAATGACGATTACTCACGCAGCTTACTCATACAGAATACCTCCGCGGCTCGGTTTCAGAACTTC